ACTCTCACTCTTTGTAACCCTAACCCTGACCTATTATTGAGATGGGATAATGCTCTTTAAAACTCCAATATTTTTGAACCTGATCTAGCTATATTATATCTCTTTACCCTCTTTCTTTTTGCTCCTTTTCCTCTTGCTTCATCGATCTTTATATATGCATATATCTTTTATCTCTATGTGGTGCTCGTCAACATCTGCCTCTCATCTGTGATGTCATTTGACCTCTATGCCCCTGACTCGATCTTCCCCCCCTCTACCTTCTGATATAATCGTCCAACGGGTTCGACGTCCAACGGGTTGATGGGTTCATCCAACCGGTTCGGGTCCAATGGGTGAATGGGCTCCTTGGACGGGTTTGACGTCCAACGGGTTGGGTCCAGCCTGTTCGACTTCCTCATCCAACGGGTTCGACATCCAACGGGTTTGGGTCCAGCGTGTTCGACTTCCAACGGGTTAATGCGCTCCTTGGACGGGTTCGACATCCAACGGGTTAATGCGCTCCTGGGACGGGTTTGACGTCCAACTGGTTGATGGGTTCATCCAACGGGTTTGGGTCCACCGTGTTCGACTTCCATCGGGTTAATGCGCTCCTGGGACGGGTTTGACGTCCAACGGGTTTGACGTCCAACGGGTTTGACGTCCAACGGGTTGGGTCCAGCGTGTTCGACTTCCTCATCCAACGGGTTCGACATCCAACGGGTTGGGTCCAGCGTGTTCAACTCCCAACGGGTTAATGCGCTCCTGGGACGGGTTTGACGTCCAACGGGTTTGACGTCCAACGGGTTTGACGTCCAACGGGTTTGACGTCCAACGGGTTGGGTCCAGCGGGTTCGACTTCCTCATCCAACGGGTTCGACATCCAACGGGTTTGGGTCCAGCGTGTTCAACTCCCAACGGGTTAATGCGCTCCTGGGACGGGTTTGACGTCCAACGGGTTTGACGTCCAACGGGTTTGACGTCCAACGGGTTTGACGTCTAACGGGTTTGACGTCCAACGGGTTTGACGTCCAACGGGTTTGACGTCCAACGGGTTTGACGTCCAACGGGGTCTGACGTCCAACGGGATTGACGTCCAACGGGATAGGGTCCATGCAGGGTTCGACTTACGTCATCTAACGGGTTCGACATCCAACGGGTTTTAGGTCCAGCGTGTTCAACTCCCAACGGATTAATGCGCTCC